CACTGCACTCTAGTCTGGGCGACCGAGTGAGACTCCAACTCAAAAAAAAAAAAAAAAGAAACGAAAATTGTTGTCACAGATTGATGTCAACCACATTTCCTCAGAGAGAATGAACTTGTTACTTCTATTTCACCCACATTCTAGTACAGAGAATTAAAAATGTGTCCAGGTTCCCTCCGTGGAGTACCAGATCTGCCTAAAAAACCATGAGCTGGTTGCTAGAAAAACCTACCTCACACTTTAAGTGGTTTTGTTGTGTTTGTGACGTGTGCCTGGGGCAGTAGAATCAGTGCTTTGAAAAAGAGTCTCTTAGCTACTCCCCCCACCCCATTAACTAAGAAGAGTGATTGTCCCAGAGACTGCTGTCTATTGTGTATCGTTTCATGGGGATTTTATATCAGTAATCCCATGAGTGCTTTTCGGTGTACAGTGGATGTCTGATGAATGGCCACATTTTATAGTATATTATATAAAGGCATTTATTGTGCTCCTTGTCATTCCTATTGCTTTTTCTAACATAGAGGGGCTGTCGAAACCCATAATCTAGATAAGGCCTGGGAACATAGGCCTACATAAGAGTTAATCAGGAAGTCGGTGTGCAGCCCAGTGGTGGCAGATTAATTCATAAAAACCTTAAAGTTGTGGTTTTCAAACTTTTTTTTTAACTGAGGCATCTTTGTCAACTAGAATCATAAGTATCGGGCAGATAATGGCACAGCTGCTTCGGTCCAGGCAGGGGTAATTGGGAAGGGATGATTTGATACCAGCCCATGAAAATATGCCTCTTCTCTCAGCCTCCCAAAATGCCTTAAGAGTGTGATGCCATTGTGAGGTGTCACTCTGTCACTGGGATTCTAAGGAAAACCCATAGACATGTCTTTCTCCAAGGCATAGATGTCTTCCTAAAACATTTTGGGTAAAGTGATGTTTTTGTAAATCAAAGTGTCTTTCAGGGGAATCAAGCAGGGAATCTTGGGGGAAAGCAAATATAATATCTACCTCCTAATCTAGTTGCTTGGAAAGTTCTGATGCATCTTCATAGTTTAGAGTACATCTCCATATTGCCTGTCATAACTAGGCGATAGCCAGGTACTTGATACTTAGGAAATTAACTCACCAAGGAACTCCATTTTTTTCCAGGTATATGATGATGAGGGACTGTTGGCATGCAGTGCCCTCCCAGAGACCAACGTTTAAGCAGTTGGTAGAAGACTTGGATCGAATTCTCACTCTTACAACCAATGAGGTAAGAACCTCCTTTTAGAAGCCTGTTATCCTTGCTTGGCTTGGGAAACAAGCCCAGCTTTTTACATGCAAACTTCCATATTGGTTGTTGGTTGGAGTCTGTGATGTAGTTTATCAGTTTTCCATAGGGGTCAAAGTTAAACTATGTGCTTTCTCAAGTATGATTTTTCTCAGAACTTCATTTTCTAAGTTCTGACTCATGCAACCAAAGATGGAGAGACATACCTGATGCTGCCTTCACTGGGAGGCTGAGGCAGGTGGATTGCCTGAGCCTGTGGGTTCGAGGCCAGCCCAGGCAACTTGGTGAGACCTCGTCTCTACAATAAATAAATAAAAAATTAGCCGGGTGTGGTAGCCCGCGCTTGTAGTTCCAGCTGCTTGAAAGGCTGAGGCGGAAGGATTGCCTGAGCCCAGCGGGTTGACACTGGGGTGGCTGTGAGTGTGCCATGGCACTCCAACCTGGGTGATAGAGTGAGACTCCAACTGAAAAAAAAGAAAAGAAAACAGTTGTAGAGTTTTTGGGGTTGTTTTTTTTTTTTTAAATAATCAAATGTAGTGATCTGAAGCATTAACCCAACCCAGCAACTTTATCTTGTCTGTCTGTGGCCTGTGCTGGATCAAGGGAGAGATTGCATTTAAATGAATACAGCTGACCTTCAGAAGTTGAAAGGAACAGTTCAGGGGGGGAGAAGACCAACTTTCTTCTCCTGCCAAAATTGTTGTTGCTAGTATAAATTCCTTTAACCCTAGACTTAAGAGTCCACTGATATTCCTATTTTCTCCTATCAGATCTGAAAGTTTATGACTTCATTTAGAAACTGGGAAAAAAGCACTAAAGTTCTGTTTTAATGATCCTATGTCTATGTTCAGTGTGATTTATTTACATATTTACATTTAAAGTCGGCCCGTTCATACCAAAATTTGTGTCTAGTATCCTAAAATAAAAAAGCAGAATGCCATACTGTCTAACGGATATAAAAATCGAAGTTTCTTTCCTTCTGAAAATCATTACCATATGCTCGAGAAAAATGGTTCCATTTAGGACAAAATTTCATTTTTATCATTGTAAGCAAAACGTTCTCTTTTGATGTGGTGGGTGTGTTTGTTTCCAGTTGTGTGGTTAATGCTGATGTTGTTAGAACTGACACATACCCCTTCTGGGACGGGGACTGTCTCTTGCCAGCCCTGGTGATGAATTATAGTGTTTTTTTTGTGTGTCTTTTAAAATGTCTAGTTGCCAACATTCCGTGGGCTCTTCTTTGATAACACTGAGGCTGTTTGTGCTGTGGTCTGCACTTTTTACCCCCCTCTCAGCAAAACCACATGTCACAGAATAGTCGTTGGCTTCTGGGGGTGTGAGCAGAACCGCCTCAGCGTGCCAGCCCAGTTGAGGCAGAGAGACCCACAAGTTCCCAGTATAGAAATCTTTTTTCATAGCTTCAGAACAGGGGCCAGCAAAAGCTTTCTGTAAAGGGCCAGAGAGCAAATATTTTCAGCTTTGTAGGCCATATGGTCTCTGTCCCAGCGTTGCCACTGTAGCATGAAGGCAGCCACAGACAATTTGTAAACATATGTGTGTCTGTGTTCTAGTAAAACTTTGTGAACTTCGAGATTGGAATTTTACTTAATTGTATATTAATTCTATGTCATTTTAGTACTGCAAGACATCTCCCCCCCCCGCCCCCTCACAACTATACAAGTGTTAAAAACCACCTTTGGGCCCCCTCCCTTACCTTGGGGACGTGAATCTCCTCTCTCTCTCTCTCTCTCTCTCTCTCTCTCCAGTTTACTTTCTGAATAAACTATATTTTCCAATCTGGAAAAAAACAACTATCTTAGGCTTATGGGCTGTACAAAAACAGGCCATGGGCTCTCACCCTGACCTAAGTCGGAAGGGAGTATTATCCTAGGGTGATTCGGGGGGCTCTTTGGCAACAACACCAATGGTTGCTTTGAGGAACAGAAGAGACTTTCCGAATTTCAAACCTTCCAAACTTTGAAACTTAACATCTATTTTCCTAAACTTTGCTTTAACAGCCCATTATGGATTTAACATACATCTGTATAGCCAAGCCTTTTTTGAACCTGTTTACATTTTCAACTCAGAGAGCTTCTGAGAGTGATGAATTACATCTGTTAAATTACCCGCTGAATGAAGACGCATTCCCCTTCAATTATTCTAGAAAATACCGTAGTAAAATATAATTCAGAAAATCAGTATTCGTGAGCTCTGCTTCTTTAAAGGGGGCCTGGGATCCACAGCATGTTCTATGTTTTCACTGTGCCGGGGCTCAAATTGGAAGCACGCGCTCTGGTGAGGCAGTAGAGCCAGCAGGCCATTTAGGACCATGTGAAGTTGAGTTGCCTGCCCAGCACCTACAGTGCAACTAGTTTTTATTGTTCTCTACTTGCCAATAGTTTATTTATGGTGGGTTGTAAGAGAGAAGCTAAGGCAGCCTAGAGTAAATCAGGTGGGGATTCCCAGGAGGTGTTGGTGGAAGTCGGGTGGGCTGGTCTCTGGAAGCCTTCCTGGGTGCTCCTGTCCTCCCACCTCCAACATAGACATCTCAAGAGCCTGTGTTTGAAATAAAACTCTTCTCTTCCCTTCTTTCAGGAATACTTGGACCTCAGTCAGCCTCTCGAACCGTATTCACCTTGTTATCCTGACCCAAGATGAAATAAAACGTCTCTCTTCCCTTCTTTCAGGAATACTTGGACCTCAGTCAGCCTCTCGAACAGTATTCACCTAGTTACCCTGACACAAGGAGTTCTTGCTCTTCAGGAGATGATTCTGTTTTTTCTCCAGACCCCATGCCTTACGAACCATGCCTCCCTCAGTATCCACACATAAACGGCAGTGTTAAAACATGAATGACCGTGTCCGCATGTCCCCAAACAGGACAGCACCGGGAGCCTACCTACACTGAGCAGGGAGGCAATGCCTTCTCTCTAGTGCTTGTTGTCTCCGCTTGTATATACGGATCAGAGGAGTAAATAATTGGAAAAGTAATCGGTGCACGTGTAAAGATTTATACAGTTGAAAACTTGTAATCTTCACCAGGAGGAGAAGAATGTTTCTGGGGCCATGGACTGCCACAAGCCACCATGTGACTCACCCCTCTCACCTGCCGCGGGTACTGGCTGTGGACAGTTGGACTCAAGGCAGACACGTGTTCTGCCTTCCTTGTTAATTTTGTAATAATGGGAGAAAATATATGTCAGCACACACTTACAGAGCACAAATGCAGTATATAGGTGCTGGATGTATGTAAATATATTCAAATTATGTATAAATATATATTATATATTTACAAGGAATTATTTTTTGTATTGATTTTAAATGGATGTCCCAATGCACCTAGAAAATTGGTCTCTCTTTTTTTAATAGCTATTTGCTAAATGCTGTTCTTACACAGAATTTCTTAATTTTCACCAAGCAGAGGTGGAAAAATACTTTTGCTTTCAGGGAAAATGGTATAACATTAATTTATTAATGAATTGGTAATATACAAAACAATTAATCATTTATAGGTTTTTTTTGTAATTTAAGTGACATTTCTATGCAGACAGCACAGACTAGTTAATCTATTGCTTGGACTTAACTAGTTATCAGATCCTTGGAAAAGAGAAATATTTACAATATATGACTAATTTGGGGAAAATGAAGTTTTGATTTATTTGTGTTTAAACTCTTCTGTCATATGATTGTTCTTAAACCTCCTAAATGCTCATATTAAAAGAACCCATTAACAGGAAGGTGTTTCGTTTTGGTGTGCAGCCCTGTCATTAGGTCAATGAAACATTTAACTGGACTTTCCCAAGACAAATGGTACCAGCGTCCTCTTAAAAGATGCCTTAATCTATTCCCCGAGGATGAACCTTAGTTGAGATAATAGCAGAATGCACTTGTCTCTGGCAGCTGGCCTTCTGCCTCTGAGTTGCACATTAATCAGATTAGCCTGTATTATTTTCAGTGAATTTTGATAATGGCTTCCAGATTCTTGGCATTAGAGAAGCCTTTTAGGATCTTCAGGTCCCATCATCGAAAATTGAAACACAGAGTTGTTCTGCTGTTAGTTTTGGGGAGATGTCCATCTTTTTAAGGGTTTGCTTCCATTCAATTCTGGCAGCACCTTACCAAAAGGTCCGGCCTAATTACCTACTTCAGAAGAAGTATCGTCATATTCATTCTGTATTAAAGTATTGTGTTTGGCTTTTGAAACACCCACTCACTTTGCTATAGTCATGCAACATGAATGCAGATTACACTGATTTTACGTGTTATGAAATTGGAGAAAGTATTTAATAAAACCTGTTAATTTTTATACTGACAATAAAAATGTTTCTACAGATATTAATGTTAACAAGACAAAATAAATGTCACGCAACTTATTTTTTTAATACTCGTGTCTTACCATATGGTTTCCTGTGCTCAGAGGTGTTGACTGAGTGCTGTTTGTTCTGAATGTGGGAAAAGCAGAGAGGTGTAGAGGGTCTTTGTGTGCTACATACAGGGGTAACTTGCCATAGGGGTTGGCTGGGACCAGCAATACCTGAGACAGGTTGATCCAATGGAAAATCAACATCGGTTGGTTCAGGCCCTGGCTGGGTTGCTTACTGGCACCTCATGGGAGTCATTGCTTCTCTCTGAGCCCTACCTGCTCCCCAGAGGAGTAGATGAGGAACCACATGGGAGAGAGCTTTGCCAACAGGGAGGTGGCCTCAGGATGAAAGGTATTGAATGGGAAGATGTTCAGAATTAGGATTCCTGGGGACCTTGAAACCTTTTAAGCCAGTTTCCTCGTGGTGGCTGGAGAGAAAGGTTTGCTTCAAATTTTCCAAGAGAAAACTTGGGCAAATTTAAAAATAATTACTTATTTTCATACTATCAAGCATCTGAAGAGGGAAATGGAGTTTTTCTCCTCAGTTAACAAATGAGAATCTCTGACTCAAGGTTCTATGAATCTGCTTGCAAGCCTCATCAGCACCAGGAAAAGGAGACAAAATCAGGCTAGCTTTTTGGCCTCCAGCCATGTTCTCAGAACTTACAGGGCCGTTGGCAGTTAGAACAGTGCCGTCCTTGCGGCCTTCAATGTGTTTGAGGCCATGAGTGGAGGAAGGTCTCCTCAGGATCAGCAAAGTAGCCTTCGGGCCTGGGTCTGCATTTGTCGAACTCCTGCACATCTGTTTCTTACTAGTGTAACAGGGTTCTGAACCCACCAAAAGAATGATCTAAAAAATAAGGTATGTGAAAGCCACTTAAGAAAAAGGTCACTTGTTGAACATGAGTGTGCAGGGTGATTGTTCTGCAGCCCTCTGAACATTTCCACCGGTACAATGCCAGGGTGGAAGATGGGCCTGCTGCTTTTGAAGGTCTATTCACAGCAAGGCTCAGGGTCTGTGCTGGCTCTTCTCTAAAGATCTATGATGCACGTACTTTAGACACAGAAGGGGGACTTGATGGCTTTGACAATGGAGATTGTAATGGAAGGAAGAACTGCTGCACATCTTGCCCATTTTCTTGGGTGGGCAAGCATCGTAAACTCACTGCTGGCCATTATAGTTTTGGAATTATTTTGAAAGAGGTATTTGTCATGAAGGGAAAGAAGGCTGTGTGATCCATGAGCGGGATGGGAAACACAGTTCCTTTGTCTTTTGTGGGACCTTCCTCAAATGAACATATACAGTCAGGGCTTGATAAGAATCCTGGAGCTTATGGCTCTCCCTACCACCGCCCCCTAAGACCTGGGAAAGCATCAGAAATTAGTTGAGCTACCTGTGATTGTCATCAAGTCATGAGATCGGTTCATTTGTGAAGAACAAAAGATTGCAGGTGTTTTGGAGGGGCACTGTCTGGGCCCTGCTGTTTCCAAGTGGGAAGAGTGGTATTCAAGAGGCTTCCTCAAAAAGTTCAGCTGGTGGTGGGCTTTGGCAGGATGGGGAACCGAAAAAGCAGATGGAGGAGTAGCAACTAACTCTATGGGAGTCCTGTGGATTCCCAGGGGACAGAGTACCCCTCACCCACCACTCAGCCTCTCTGACCCTCATCTCTAAACTTCTCTACCTCTGATCTTGAGGGAAGTTCCTTAACCCCCACACATTTGCAATAAAATGTCAGACAGACCTGAACAGCCATGGACTGAGGATCCAGCCACTATTCTGAAAACTAGAACTTGATCTGCCAGTTTATGCTATATAATTAAAGTTTGCAAAGGGCTAGGTCCAGAGGGCTCAGCTAGTGCAGAGTAGAAACCTGAGGCTGGGTTTACATGGTTGGGGCATGGTCTAATAAACAAGACTGCTGCCTTGTGCAGTAGAAGAGAAAGACAGTGGACAGTGGGTTTGGGCAGAACTGGAAGGGTTTATTTCTTAAAACTGGATGATGGCGGGCAAGTCCCAGCTTCTGTGTGGACATTCATTTTGACTGTAAAACACTCTCACCAGCCTCAAGGCTTACCATGAGAATTAGCTGCAGGGCTTAGTCTGGTAGACAGTACTCAATAAATGTTAGTTTTCCCGAAAACTTTTTTTGTACATTTCAGTGATTTTTGCAGTATATTCACCATGTGCAACCGTCTACTTCCACTACCTGCTTCCAGAACATTTTTATCACGCCAAAACACAACCCTATTCCCACTAGCAGTCACTTTCCATTTCCCCCTCCCCCCAGTCCTTGGTAGCCACCAATCTGCTCTCTGTCTACAGACTTGCCTGTTCTGGACATGGCATATAAATGGAATCACACAATATGTGGCCTTTTGTGCTCAACTTTTTTCATTTAAGGTTTTCAAGTTTCATCCATATAGCCCACAGTGGTCCTCATTCCTTTTTAGTGCTAAATTATATTCCATTATGTGGATATCCTGCTTTTTGTTTATTCATTTATTCACTGATGAACATTTTGGTTGTTTCTACTTTTTGGCTGTTATGAATAGTGCTGTTACAAACATTCAGGTACTATATGTGTTTCTGTATGGTCATATGTTTTCATTTCTCTTGGGTATATACATAGGAGTAGAATTGTGGTTCACCATATAGTAACTACTTTAAACCTTTTGAGGCACTGCTAGGCTGTTTTCCAAAGTGGCTGCACTATTTTACATTCCCGCTAGCAATGTATGAGGAGTTTGGTTTCTCCAAGTCCTTGCCAATATTTGTTATTGGCCATATTTTTTGTCATAGCCATCCAAGTGGGTGTGAAGTGTCTTCCTAAGAATTTGAATAGTTGAGGAGATACCACTCAGATCACGGATCAAAGATACATCATATACCTTACTGGGTTTTCTGGAGAAAAAAAGTTCAACTAATCAGCCTGGCTTCTTCACTTACGAAGTGGTGACACCTCAGCGGATCCTTTTGGCATGAAAAAGCTGAGAAACCATTCAATTTTCCTTTCTCTTGACTGAGAATGGAAGAAAGCACGGCCACATGATGCAAGAAGACAGATTCTTTCTGCCTAGAAAGCTGAGTGCATCTCTGCCTCATGTCCTCAGTTTTATACCAAATAAAGTGTAGTGAACTTGAGCCATCCATTGGGGCTGACTCATGTGCCATTACTTATGTATGCACATTGGAGTCCTCCTTATCCAGCCTGTGTTTTGATGTTATTTATTTTGGGATATTTTTAACGATGAAAGCAAAGTTTATCTTCTCTCACATTTCATCCCCAGGAAGCCCTGAAACAACTTGGCTGTCTACCCTGGGCAGGGACAGCAGAAGCCACCCATGTCTTAAGTGACATTCTGGAATGGGGCCCTTCTTGTGCCCTGTCTCCTCAGGGTTTCTGGGGGTTTTGAATGGACTCCTCAAAATTGTCTTGAAGTCCTGTCTCAGAGGGCCACACAAGGTGCAGTAGAAGACAGTGGATGGGAGGACGTTCAGTGTCAATCATTGGGAAGCCATCCTCTCCAGACCTTTGAAATAAAAGGTGGTGGATTCCTGCCAGTTTTCAAAAGAAAACCCCAGGACATGAAGCAGTTCAGTGGCAGAATTTAGCTTAAAATGCATCTGTGGATAAGTGATTCTTCCTCTGAGATTCAGAACACTGCTTCCTTTTGGGTTGTGTCTTTTTAGTTTCCTTTCCCTCTTGTAATTCATTTTTTCTAATTCTAATTCTTTTGTTGACACTTAACTGAATCTTGCCTGTGTCCCTTTCACGTCAAAATCCATAGCATGATATATTCGGGACAGAGGACATTTACAGATTTATACATTAAGAATAAAGGAGGATATGTTTTCTTGGTCTGTAAATGGGGTGACAAATGACTTCTATCTCACATGGTTGTTGTGTTAAGTGAGATTTTACCTGCAAGCACCAAACAGTACCCACTGCATAGCACCAAATATTAGCTTATCTATTTATTGATCGATTGAATAGATATTGAGACAAATATAAAGCGTATGAGTATATCTATATGATGGTCATTTGTGAAATTGCTAGTCAGTGATGAATACGACTAGGGTCACATCTCCCCCACCCCCACAATTTTAAGCAAAAAGCATTTAATAAATTTTAAATCAATGAAAATGACCCAAATCTTAAAAAATCATGAAATTATATTTACAACGTTCAACCTGTTCCCCTTTTGAAACAAACACTCGTTCATTGTACAAACACTAGCCAGGCAACGGATACCTAATATGATCTTTAAGGGACAATGAAACGCTTGCAGAGCTGCACCGACCAAGCTGGTGAATGACTTGAGCCCCATGGTCTAAAAAGCAGGCCAGAGCAGGAGCAGCTCAGGAGGGCTTCTGCAAGGGAAACTCTTGTTCCAGGTTTGGTGTTGTCACAAGCAAATGGAAATGGGTACCGTGACAAAGGGAAATATCACATGGGAAAAACAGAGGAGGCCTGAGGCTCTCGAAGTGTTAGGATTGTGTATTGTTCAGGGGCCACCCCATTGAATCTTCCATTAGCATAGGTCTCCTGATAGGGTTGGAGAGGTTGCAATAAACTCCCTTGTGTGGGGAGGTTCATTCAGATTCAAACTAATTTCAGACCTATCTCATTCCTGTGGGTGTGTACTGCAGTGGTTTAAATGGGCGAAGATGGTTGGAACATTTTTATAGGCTCAGGGCTGTCTGGAACATTTTCACAGGCTCAGGTCTGTCCTTTCAAGTAGTTCTGTGACTTGACTTGCTGCCTCTTCTAGAAAGAGACTGTGTGTATCTTTGCACATATTATCACAGCAGGAGAGGACATCGGACACCTGGTCTCTTTCCTGGCTTGGTCTTGACTTCCCAGGAGACTAGCCCTTGGGTTGCCTCTTGCTGAATTTGGGTTTCACCAAAATGCAGAATCCTCATTCATGGTTGGCCATCACCCAGCAGCAACCAGAGCTGTGAACAAAAAGGCAAAGTCAAATCATCAAACCACAGAACAGTGGTGATATCACTGG